TCGCCAAAAGACAAAAAAACTGTTCGTTATTGCGATACACACGTGCACGGCATTCCATATTTTGACGTGACCGAAGAATTAAAATGTGTCTACAAACAAGAGAACATCATTCCCATATTAAATTGGTACATTAGACATTTGTGCAAGGACGAAGTGATCCCATACAAAGGTGGTTCAGCAGAAAAACAATTTTTAAAAATGTTGACGACGAATGATAGAATTTTTAATATTGAAGAATACAAATGTCCAAAATAAAATAATTTGGTAATGTACCAGTTCTGGCTTACTGAGTCAGAAGTGGTACAACGTTCGTCGACTCACGATCCTAAAAAAAAGATGGATAAAACAAAGCTCATGTGTCCATGTAATGTATACCTATGTGTGTACCTATGTACGAGTACAAATATGTTTACCCGGGACAAATATTCTGACTGGGTAATTCCAACTTCGTCCGAGAGATCAATCAACAGATTGAACTCGGCTGGTCAGCGTTCGGGAGATTACGACACATCTACTAGTCAGGTATACATCAAAACTTGAAAACGCAATTATACAACCAGTATGTATTGTCAGTGATAACATATGTATCTGAGAGGTGGACCTTCACTACTGGTCGTATGAGGAAGCTCAAAATCGCTCAGCAAGCTATGGAACGGGCTATGCTCGGGGTTTATCTTTAGATTTTTAATATAAAATATTTATAATATAAAAGTAAAGAGTACAGAAAAACTCAATTGAAACAGAATTAGTGGCGTGAAATTGGAGAAATTTCAAATAAAACAGATTAGAAAGGTTTTTAATTATCTATTTTCATCTCATATTACAATAAGTATATTACACTTAATTAATTAGCTACATTTATCGTATTACTTTACGAGCACACTAATGTTGTTGTGTCGCATAAATATGCTGCCACTCAATACCCCTGGTTCATTGAAGTAATTATTCAATGTTTCCCGTATTTGTATAGGATTCATTTGGGCTCGAACATTACGATTTGCCAGAGGTATTAAATTTTCAGTAGGTAAGAGTGTAAGCAGTAGAGAAAAGTGGGTGATCAACATGTTGTTGATCAGGTGCCAGTACTTTTGCTTTCCGTAATATGATACATAAAATACAAGCGCTCACTACTAGTTTGTCACAGCTGGGGCAGTAGCAATAGGTACGATAAATAATCTGAAGTAATCACATAAAATTCCAAATGTATTTTCTGTAGTTCTTCGAGCTCGTGATAATCGGTAATTATATACGGCTTTTGATAAATCATGGATTGATTGCTGTCTTGGATAGGGTCTCATCAAGTTTTCGTGGAGAGCGAAAGCTTCGTCTCCCACTAATACATGTGGTATCACATCATTTGTTCCAGGTAGGGCCTTCGGTTCTGGTATATTAAATGTTTGATTTGTTATGTTTTGCCCTATTTTGCTTTTTAAGTAAATACCAGCATCTTCTCTTCCATAAGAACCAACATCATTAGCAATAAATTTACAATCCACATCGACGACTGCTACCAGTTCTGGCGCACTGAGTCAGAAGTGGTACAAGTACGACGTTCGTCGACTCACGATCCTAAAAAAAATGATCACGAATCTGCGGTCCATTTTTGCGTAGAATGCATGGTTCCGGAGATGTGCAAATCAATTAACTCTTATCTAATTGAAATCCGGTGAAGGCCTCCACCGTCATTAGCGCTCCATTGTTCTTATCTACTTATCTATTGTTCATTGAATACCGTCACTATCTATTCTTCCTCAGCGTGGTGCTATTGTTCTCCTTTGTTCTTATCTACACTAATCTGACTCATCAATAAAACACATTACCTAATTTTGCTAAAATTTTTATTTACAAAATACAAAATCTTATTACTTATTATCTATAAAATAGGAGCGAAACATCTCATCCACTAAAATATCGTTGTACAATGTATTCCCTGTAAATATACTCGTAAAACTATGCATTGAACATCCCTGAAACTTATATAGCAAATACATTAAGCAATATTCGCCACAAACTGAAGTCCACTCATTCTGAATCCTATCAACATTCCAGTTCCATCTTTTACAATTTCTTTTAAAAAACTCTAGATGATATCGTACAGGTGCCCGTCCGAATGAATCAAAATATTGACCGACGTCATTCGTATCGATATATAAAGCTACCCAATGTGACCCTGGTTTATCATCTGTATCCAAATTGCATATTATATACGTTGGTACGTGGGTGTACATGGGTAGTTTATTGGCAGCATAAACATTATTTTCTAGAGTGGGGTGAATCTTTTTCAGATGTTGTTGTACATCTAGTGTATCCATAATATTACTGCTATTAGTAGATTATTACAGTACCAATCTACTAAATGACTAATATAGGAATGATCAATTATAGTGATTTCTAAATATTAAATTGCATTCTTTGTGTTATACAAAACGTATTTGAGTCATCAATACACTGAACAAGACACGACAGGAAGGACGAAGGAATGTTGAGATAAGCAACAGAATGTGAGATAAGCTTGTTGACGCATAAAGTTACTATCAATTCTACTGCAGAAATTCTTTAGACTCACTGGTACTATATAAGACCAAGCAACTGCAGTCATGGAGTTAGTACATGGTCGTTTGACCGGAGTGGATCTATCAATACTACATTTGTGTTACTTCAACGCATCAAAGGCCATGGGTGTAAGTGTTTATTCTATTGACAAACTTACTTTTCTTTCTGTTATTTTCTTACGTGTGTATGATTTAGTGTTAACAAATTATATTTAAACATTATGTGTGTGTATATGATTAAGCCGTGGTAGCTCAGATGGTTAGCGCAAAATGTAAAATTTACAGTGCGCGACCCGGGTTCGATCCCCGCCGGCACCAATGAAATTGTTAATTGCAATTTTAAATGCTGATTTACCACGTGCTCAGCGGTGAAGGAAAACATCATGAGGAATGCATGTCTGAGAAAATTTCGAAGGCATGTGAAGTTTGCCAACACGCATTGAGGCAGCGCAGCGAACACCACCAAACCCCTCAGAGGAGGCCTATGTTCAGCAGTGGACTTTAATAGGTTGTAACTTTAACTTTTTTAACTTTTATGATTAAGTGTTAACAAATTGATATTAACATGATAACTGTGTTGTTACAGAAACCATTGAGCTTCGATGAAAATACCTATAAATAGTATTACTACTCGCCACTCTCCCCTCAAGAAGAGAGTGATGACATCGTCATTAATAATAACACATGCGATGGTGGAAAAAGAAAATCGAAATCGATTGATCATTTTTTTGAAGCTGAATCAAAAATAAAAAAAGAGGAAGCTGTTATCATCAACCGTAGCACGAGCCGCTAGAGATGGTGTATCATACATTTCTACTAATTCTGACGACGGAGACCAAGCGACGCATCTCATCAAAATTGAAATGTACGATATGAAGAAGCTATCCAAGATTCCAACTACTGATCATTGGAAACATGCTTCCACGAGGATTAAATATTACGTAAAGACTAATAAGGATAGCATCTACGACAACACAAACGCCCTCGTATACAATATTACAAAGACAATAGCAGAAAGTGAAAAAGTTAAAAAATACTTTTTTAACAATGACAGTCATTAGCTGATTATTAGTGAATGTGATTCTGTTTACTTAAATTACTTCTGTGTACTCATTATATTCTATTTCTAATCCTTTGTTAAACTTAAATATCGGACATTATTTGAAATTTGGGTATCAGTTGGTCTACCAACACTGAACTGTTACTTACTCTGCTACCTATTTTCTTCTTTACTATAAGGATGGCAAACTTCAGTGAAGTGTGCACCAGTGCTTTCTTCTCCACAACCATGGAAGAGAATACGGAACTATTCAACAGCGAATTAAATCAGGAGTTGTCTAAAGTTTGTGATGAAATGGAGAAGGATCAACTGTTCGATTCATCGTATAATGATGAGTTGTATAATCACTGTGCGATGGTTGAAACACAGTTTAAGTAAGTAAAATAAACATTCATTTCGATTATAATTTACACAATGTCTTGTACAGTTTTTAATAAATTTAAACATTTTAGTAGTTAACCACTACAACTTGGAAGAGGAACGAAGCGAACGAGCAGCAAAGAACCCAAGATCATCAAAAAACCAACAACGGAAGCAGAAGCGCCTACATCTGCAGGGAACAGTATCAGTAACGATGATCAAGTGGAATGTCTAACATGTCATATATTTATCAAGAAACGGTATTTAGCTAATCATTTTAAAAGTAATGTTCACAAAAATAATCTTTTAAATTCACATAATTCTTTATCAAACCTTAGTGTTATTGAATCTGCTTTTGGAAATAGGATTTTAACTTATAAAATCAAGAGTAGAGTAGATAGTTCGACATTGGTAAATTTTGAAACTCCTGAACTATTTTTAAATTCTTTTAAAGATGATATTTTATTTTTAATACAAGAGTGTATTCATCAACACATAATTTTTAAAGTAAACTTCATACTGCATGCTGATTTTGTTCAACAAACTAAAGATATTCATGATACGTTCGATTTTCAAACGCTTAACTATATTATTTGTCAAGGAGATGACTTAAATATTTTTATTTCGTCTTTAAATGATACAATTACTACTAAAATTAGTGCATTTGAAAAAAAGATAGTGGATGGAGTCTAAAAAACATAAAATCTATAGACATGAATGTTAATAAATTTAACCCCCTACGTGGTACTTCATACATAGATCTTCCTCGTGACATAAAATTAAAAAAGGCTGTTATAAATGTAAAAAGCAAGGATTATTTTTGTTTTAAATGGGCGTTACTCTCGGCGTTATATCCCGTAAACAAAGACGCGGATCGTGTATCATCGTACGTTAAACATGCAAATAAACTTTACAGAGTTAAACTCACTCATATTTTTAAATATCTGGATAGCTTCATTACAACACACGAGAAGCTGTCTTCAGCAATGGCCTCTAATGATGATCAATGATAATAATAATGATTAAGTTTAAGTTTGACTGTCTATTGCTGTCTCTGGCTTTAATATACCACAGAAGGCTCCACCACTGAAGATGGTAGATTTAGCAGTGGCTTGCAGTGTAATTAACTGATAACGAATGTCGTTCCTACCAGCATAGGTAAACATTAGCCTCTGCAATGTAGCTAATCAACAGATAGTTCAATAATACATAAATACTTTGGTTTTACTAATATTATATGCATACCTTAATAAGCTTGTTTTGCAGCTTGGTGACAGCCATTCGTTCCTTTTGAGTTCGCCGTTTCTCCTCTTCTAGCTGAGCTTCCAGCTGTTTTATATGCTTTTCCAAAAGTTCCTATAACAATAAGAAAGATGACATTTATTAAGTTCTTTTAAAATAAAATCAACTGTATATGCGGGAACTGTAAAAAGCAAGGATTATTTTTGTTTTAAATGGGCGTTACCCTCGGCGTTATATCCCGTAAACAAAGACGCGGATCGTGTATCATCGTACGTTAAACATGCAAATAAACTTAAATTTAATGGTATTTCCTTTCCAGTTAAAATTTCTGACATAGCAAAAGTAGAGAAATTAAATGATATTAGTATTAATGTTTTTGGGTTAGAATATAATAAAGAAAAACGATGTAATTCTATAGTAGGTCCATTATTTTTAACAAAGTGTCGTAAAGATAGACATATCAATTTATTATTATTTTCCAAGGATAGAAAAAATCATTATTGTTACATAAAAAATTTATCGCGGTTAGTTAGTAAACAAATTTCAAAAGACGGTCACATCATGTACATTTGCGAAGCATGTCTACTTCACTTTCCATCTCAGGAAAGTTTAAATAACCATGAACAATACGATTGTGCCCACATTTGTACAGAATTACCAAACAGTGAAACTTTAAAAAAAAAAGAATTGGTTTGGTCAACCTATTTCAAATGATAAAATTAAATTTGATAGTTATGAAAAAAGTTAAAGATACCATTCGTAGTTTATGCTGATTTTGAAGCATTTTTAAAACCAATAGAATCATGTTCTAACGATCCTTCCAAACCTTTCACACACAATATTCAGAAACATGAAGTACATAGTTTTGGTTATTATATAAAATGTTCATATGATGATAAATTATCAAAATATGTAACATATTGCGGACCCAACTGTGCACAAGTGTTTATGGAAAGTTTATCTAACAATCTCAAAGAAATAAATAGACTTCAAAAATATCCTCCACTTCCGCTAACAAATGAAGACAAAAACCAAATTTCAAATGCAACCATTTGTCATATTTGTGAAACAGAGTTAGCAGAACATTTTTATGATTTTGATTAGGTAGTTTTATAGGTGTTGCTCACGAATCATGTAGCTCGAAGTTCAGAAAACCTCGTTATACTATACCAATATTTTTACACAACCTTAGTCACTATGATGCTCATTTTATTGTTCACCCGTTAAACTTTTGTGATGGTGAAGTCGAAGTTATCCCTCAAAATAAAGAAAAATATATATCCTTTTCCAAAAAAAATAAAAATGAATAACCACGAAATTATATTAAGATTCATAGATTCATTTAAGTTTTTATCATGTAAATTAGAAGAATTGGCCAAAAATCTCAGTAATGATCAATTTCAAGAATTACATAGAAATTATCCTAATGATGAAGATTTCTTTCGTTTAAAACGGAAAGGCGTTTATCCATATGAACTTATGACTAATTATGATAGTTTAAGCCTAACATCGCTCCCCGAACAAAAAATTTTTTATAGCTCGCTCACATATTCCCATATTTCAAATGATGATTACAATCATGCTAAAGATGTTTGGGAACACTTTGGGTGTTGTAATATGCTAGATTATTCAAACCTGTATTTAAAAACAGACGTTTTACTTTTATCGATGTATTTGAAAACTTTAGAAAGTTATGTATTATTACTTATGATTTAGACCCTGCCCATTATTACACAGCACCCGGTTTAAGTTGGGATGCAATGTTAAAATATACAAAAATAGAATTAGAACTTTTAACAGATTATGAGAAAATTGCATTTATTAGATCAGGTATCAGGGGTGGTGTATCTCAATGTAGTAATCGGTATGCTAGAGCTAATAACAAATACATGGGGGATTATGATGCAGGGAAACCAAATTCATATATCACATATTTCGATGCCTACAATTTATATGGTTGGGCTCAATGTCTTCCTACTGGTGGATTCAAATGGGTAAATCCGAATACAGAATTTAATGTGTCTGAGACATCGAGCTTCGGTTTTATTTTAGAAGTTGATTTGGAATATCCAGATGAACTTCATGATTTACATTCGGACTTTCCTTTATGCCCCGAAAACATTTGTGCAGGCAATATTAATGAAAATAAACTAGTCCTAAATTTAAATAATAAAGATAAATATGTAATTCATTACAGAAATTTAAAGCAGTGCATGAAATGGGGGTTAAATTAACTAAAATTCATAGAGTTTTAAAATTTAAACAGTCTCGCTGGTTGAAGATGCACAAAATTAAGAACGTTAGCAAAATCAGATTTCGAAAAAGATTTTTATAAATTAATGAATAATTCAGTCTTCGGTAAGACTATGGAGAATATTGAAAAAAGGGTTAACATAAAATTAGTTACACACTGGGAGAACCAGGGCAAAGCTTTAGGTGCTCAAGAGCTAATCGCTAAACCACAATTTCATAGTCTTTCAGTATTTTCGGAAAACCTAGTTGCGGTTCAGTTGCGAAAAACGAAGTTAATATATAACAAACCAATTTATTTAGGGTTTTGCATTTTAGATATTTCAAAAACATTAATGTATGATTTTCATTATAACTATATGGTTAAAAAGTTTAGTAAAATCAAATTATTGTATACAGATACGGATAGTTTAATATATCATATATTTACAGATGATTTTTACTCTGATATAAAACCTGACCTTTCATCATACTTTGATACCTCAGCTTAAGATACAAATAATATTTTTAAATATCCAAAATTAAATAAAAAGAAATTAGGTTTTTTTAAAGATGAAAATAATGGTAAAATCATGAAAGAATTTGTGGGTTTACGATCCAAAATGTACGCTTTTAACTTAGAGAATAAGACTATAGCTAAGGCAAAAGGGGTAAATAAATGTATCACTAAAAAGATGACCATGGATAGTTATAAGTCTTCTCTATTTAATAAAAAAGTGCAATATATATAGTATATAATAGTATGCTTAGATTTAAATCAATTAAACACACAATTTTTACACAAAAATTAAATAAGATTGGTTTATCATATAATGACACAAAGAGGCATATTTTAGATAATAATATTGAAACATTAGCTTGGGGTCATTATAAACGGCGTTAAGTGTTGATAGTATTTAATTTTATGTCTGCATGTACATTTATAGTATAATATGACGTAAAGTTTATTACATATTTAATCGTTGTTTTATTGTAAATAATTTAAGTAAATTGTTGTTTATATTTGCGTGTGTGTGTGTGTGTGTGTGTGTGTGTGTGTGTGTGTGTGTGTGTGTGTGTGTGTGTGTGTGTGTGTGTGTGTGTGTGTGTGTGTGTGTGTGTGTGTGTGTGTGTGTGTGTGTGTGTGTGTGTGTGTGTGTGTGTGTGTGTGTGTGTGTGTGTGTGTGTGTGTGTGTGTATTTATTTGAGGTTGAATTGATTGTAAAATTATGATGTACTAATTGTGTTAGAAATAGTATACAGATCATTCTGTTTTATATAATGTTTGCAATATATATTAATTGTTAACACCAACACTTTCATTTTTTATTTCACCCCTTAGAACTTTAGACGTGTGTAATGTTTCACTTTATCCATCCGTTTACTGCTATTGTGGCAGGACCAAGTGGATGTGGGAAATCAAATTTTGTAACAAATTTCATAAAATCAGTTACAGAAATATGTAATTGTGATTTTAATCAGATCACATGGTGCTTTGATGAAATGCAACCTTTATATAATTTACCAAATGTTAACTACCATCAAGGAATTCCAAATGTTAATATGTTTGATGGTGAAAACCCACATCTTGTTATTATTGATGATCTAATGAGAGAGTCCGATGGAAGAATTGTGGATATATTTACAAAAGGTAGTCATCACAGGAATCTTAGTGTATTTTATTTAACACAAAATTTATTTCATCAGGGTAAAGGGCAAAGAGACATATCCTTAAACTCAAGTTATTTAATATATTTTAAAAACCCTCGAGATAAAACTCAAATAAGATATTTAGCACAAGTGTCACCAGATAACCCAAAATTCATTGAAGATGCCTACAGGGATGCAACTCTAGAGGCGCATGGATATTTAATGGTAGATTTAAAACAGAATACCAATGATTTTTGTCGTATCAAGACAAATGTCTTCCCATTTAATGGTTTCTGTACAGTCTACGTCCCCACAAAAGAGTTTAAATACACCAAGAATCAAACATTTCAAATCATTGCTAAATGATGCATCGTCGACACAACACATCATAACGCATAAACATTTGCTAAACGCTTTGCATACGCTTAAACCATAATATCAAAAAGCATTACTTAAAACGTGTGATGAAGAAGAAATTAACTGTATTTGTGAGTGTATTCATAACGTTTTACAAGGAAAAGTACCTGTTAAAGATCAAGATAAACAAAAATTGAATAAACACAAAAATATACTCCGTCAACTAGTGCGTAAATGTAAACATAAACTAAGAAAATATATAATTATACAAAAAGGAGGGGCTTTCTTACCAATAATATTAGGTGCAATATTGAGTGGATTAGTGAGTAAACTAGCCAGTTAACATGGAAAATGCAAAGAAAATGATACTTATCAAACCTGGATTGATTGAAAAATTAAAACAGGAAAATAAGGTTAATAGTAGTTTATCTCGATTAGATATTGAAATGCAAAATATTATGAATAGTAAGACGGAAGACCGAAAGAAATGGATGTTATATTTACAAACACTGCAAAAATACCTTCATTTTACCGAAGGGGATCGTCAACCACTCAGATTACCAATTTATTCTGATACATCTAATGAAGATTCAAACGAGTCTAAAATTGGTTTTAAAAATAAAGATAGACATCTAAAAACTTCAGTTGATGCTGAATCTTTGTTGGAGGAGAATCGATCCATCAAAAGTAAAGAAAATGTTGAAAATCCACTTTACACACCAGCTCAAATACTCAGTTTAATACCAAAAACTTATAATAAAAAAGGACAGTTATTATTAAACTTAGTTGAAACAAGTAAAGGTAAAATACATTGGGATAATGAAGGTACAGTCATAATTGATAATGAAAAAATTCCTGGAAGTAATATTGTTGATTTAATAAATGATTCACTAAGACCCTTAAAAAGAAGTGATCCAGTAGGGTGGGATAGATTTGCTGAAGCATTAAAATATATTAAAGTACCACTTACTTATATTGGAAATCCAAAGAGATGTGAGTTTATTAACCAACTTCAAGCAAAAGATCTGAACAAACCCTCTGACATTGAATTTAAGAGTTTTCTACACCGAGCAGTAGAGATAAAAAGTCTACAACTAAAATACGTAAAAGGCTTGAGTGGGAAAAATGGACCGGGTACTAGAAGAAATTAACAGGATTTATTATGATCCATCTAATCTCGCTGGTTTTGGTAGTATTGATAAATTATCAAAAGCCATGAAGGGTAAAATGAATAAAAAGCAAGTAAAGGAATGGTTAAATCACAAGAAACATACACATTACATAAACCCATTCGAAAAAAATTCCCGCGTAATAGGTACATTCTATCAAATATGAATGAACTGTGGCAAGCTGATTTAAGTGATATGCGAACTTATTCTCAATATAATGATGGTTTCAAGTATATGCTTTGTGTTATTGATGTATTTAGTAAATATGCTTTTGCAAGACCAATGAAAAAGAAAAACTCAGAAACAACTAAAGAATGTTTTGAAAGTATATTTACTGAAAGTAATTTAACACCTACTCACATACAATCTGATAAAGGTACAGAATTCGTTTCAAAAGATGTATAAAAATACTTTAAATCCAAAAAGATTAATTACTATATCACTAACAATCCTGACATTAAGGCCAGTATTGTTGAACGATTTCAAAGAACACTAAAAATGAAAATGTGGCGATATTTCACTCATAATAATACTTATAGATATATAGATGTTTTACAAGATTTAATATACTCTTATAATCACAGCTTTCACTCCAGTATTAAGATGTGCCCATGTGATGTAAATTCCAACAATATTATGACAGTTTGGACTAATCTTTATGATAGACGGTCAAACAAACTTTCTTTAGAAAATCCTAAACCAAATTTCAATGTGGGTGATTATGTTCGAATAACTAAATATAAACATGTTTTCCAAAAAGGATATGAATCAAATTGGAGTGATGAAATATTTATTATATCTTCAATAATTGATAGATCTCCATGGGTTGTTTATACAATAACAGATTTACAAAATGAACCAATAGTTGGTACTTTTTATGAAAGAGAATTACAGAAAATCACTTACAACCCCACCTCACAATATAAAATAGATAAAATAATTGACACTCGTTACTCAGGTAACAGAAAAGAAGTATTAGTGAAGTGGAAAGGTTATCCAGATAAATTTTACAGTTGGACTTTAGCTTTAGATAACATGGAAATTAACGAGTGCAACGTAATCTCCTATGCAGATGATACTGCAGTAATATTAATTACTGGGATTCTGTTCGTGGATCTGCTAAAGAAGGCCTTGTTAGGATCGCTAAATGGTTGACTAAAAGAAACGACGATAGTCGACCTTAGGTAAGGGGCGTAAACAAAGCCATGACTCGAGGTTGTCACGAGCAATGGTTGCTATAGGCTGATTGGCCACAGTGTCCATTGAGATTGGCCCCAACGATATGTCAGGCTCGTCGTTAACGTTAGTTTCATTTTCCACCATTTCCTCTTCCCCGCAGGTAGTTTGCGGCTCGTCCGAGGCCGGCATACAATTGTTTTCTTTCCTAATGCTATTTGGTAAATTTTGACAGTCAAAATCAAAGTCCAGATTTTTTTGATTATCGTGTTATGGTCCCTGGTAACGTATGATTTGATTTTTATGTTTTTTTTACACTTGCCGAAGCATGTATGTCCTTTATCATATACATAACTTTGCCCATTATTTTTATCATAACACCCCGGCACCACTGATGTGTATTATTATTTACAAATTTTTTATACAAAACATTTGTCCCGTGTTCAAAAGGTTTTGCATTTTTCCCCCATCTGCAAATACTGTTTGTTTTGGACTTTATTATTTAAGGATGTGGATGAAGGCGGTAGTACATGGCTCATTAAGTCCAAACGTATTCGTAACTTGCGACCGAAAACTAATTGAGCTGGTGACAAAGAAGTTGTGCTGTGTAAGGAATTCCTATAATCGAATAAGAATTTAAGTAATTTTAATTTATATTATTTTTTATTGTTGTTATAACTAGAAAGTAGATACGACTTTAACCCCTTTTTCACTATTTTAACGTACCCTTCAGCCTAACAGTTACTAGCGGGGTGATACGGCGGTGACGTCACATGAGTGATACCGTTAACACTACAGAAATTTTTAAACTCGTAGGAAGTAAATGTAGCTGCGTTGTCGGTTACTATGGTTTGAGGTAAACCGAATCTCGAAATATACTCGTAGAGTTTTTTGATCACAGCCGATAAAGTAGACGGTATTACGTATACTTGACCCATTTCGTATAAGCATCCACAATAACTAAATACATATGACCAGGTAACGGTCCTAAAAAGTCCATGTAGATCCTATAAAATGGCTATGGAGGATATTTCCATGGTGATATAGGCGTTCGTGGTGGGTAATGACGCAGCTGGGTTCATATTTTGCATGACCCTATCATCGTTTCTATGGCTGCATCAATACCCAGGAACCAAAACCTAGCCCGAGCTTCCGTTTTTGTTTTTACTACTCCAATATGAAAATTGTGTAACTCGGACAGAATCTTTATCCGCAATAGTTCAGGCAAAACCATTTTGTGCCCACGCATTAAGAACCCATCTTCAAAAGATAACTGCGTTCTACATAAAAAGTAAGGTTTTATGTTAATGTAGGTTTTTGTTGTTTGTTTTTTTTTATGTTGTTTTTTTTATGTTAATGTAGGTTTATGTTAAATAGGGAGAACCGCTGCTGCATGCCCTGCAGCAGAGGTGGATGCGGCAATGCGCGCGCACCGTATCGTCTCTGCCAGTTCGACTGCCTTCGATAACGTTAGCTCTTCCAGTTCCTGGACGAACAACTTATCGCGCTTGAGTCCCGGTAACATCCCCATTATGAATCTACCCCGTAATACTTCTTCTACATTGCTGAATGAGCAGTGAGCTGTCAAAGCACGAAGTCTTGCAGCCCACTGGACATGTGATTCACCTGGATGTTGCGTTAAAGAGTAAAAAATACTTCTTTCACTAAACCCGTGACGCTTTGGTATAAAATGTCTATCCAGGAGGTTCAAGATATCCTCAAATGGCACCTCTTGGATCTCTTTAGGCAGTGCAAGATCTGACACTAGTTGGTAAGTACCGTCAGACAATGCGCTCAGGAGTATCGCTATTCTTTTTTCGCCTCGTGTATCAGTAGCGGAGGTAATATTATTCGCAATGAACCACTGCGTGAGGCGGCCTTTGTGCGTCTTCCATGACTGCACATTGTAGTCGAAAATTGACAAAATTCCGAAGTGCGTTGTGGCCATTTTTTTAAATAATATGTGGGTGATCATCACCACTGGTAAGTACTCGTATGCGTTATAGGGGCACGAGTGAAACAACCGCTTGCAAGTAACACACTGATTGTTGACAAGCATATACGTAGGCCGTACACAAGTACCCAGCACTATCCATTTTGTTGACGAGTCAATTAAAACAAAAAACGACCCGCCTTCAAAAGAACCTAAAAAGGCAAAATGAAGTCTCGTCCAAGGTTGGGAATTATAGGGCCACGGTTGTGGGTAAGCGCGCGCGGGCGCCGGTGCCTTGACAGCACACGTTATACAGTCTCGAACAACCCTCCATACATACATTTTCATTTTAACGAATCCGAGATGACCTACGTGTATTTCTTTTAAAATTTTATCTTTTATTGTATCCGGTACAACTACTCTGTAGTCCCACAAAATACAGCCTCCTTTAAAATACAGTTCACTTTTACGACCGTAAAAAGGCTTTAGTCTGTCATTGGGACACTTACCTGGCCATCCGGAAAGAATGTATTTAATGACACGCTGTAATAATCCATCATTTGACGTTTTAATTTTAATTGCCTCACTTGTAATGGGTAAGAAATCCTGTATAAAATTCAGATAGGTCGTCTCAGACCTAACTGATTTCTGCGGTCCGGTAGGTAAACGGGATAAAACGTCCGCCGTATTATCGGCAGTTGCCACATACTCTATAAATTACGTATAAGCTGCCAAAATAATGGCCCTTTGTAACCTACTAGCAGCCATCGTCGGTATGCCCGTTTTGGTTCCAAAAATTGACACAAGTGGCTAATGGTTCAGTTCAGTTCAGCGCACAGTTCAGTTGCGACGCCTAAGCGAGCACCACGTATTATAATATTTCCTCTCAGTTTAGTCTGTGTTTTTGCCGACATAAGTGTACTTTTACTATTTATTTGTATAGATTTCTAAAGTGGACGTTGCTACTGGCATAATAAATTGAATAGTATTATATTAACTGTGAGTTATAATACATAAACATTGCAAAAATTTCTGTTAGTGTTTAAGCGCTTGTTTATTTTGTTTATTTGTGCGACCGCTGTGTGTCATTAACGAGGTCAACGATCACTGTCACGGATATTGGACTCTCGGGCAGAACGTAAGGGGTTTCCAGAGAAATTTTTGCAATTTTTGCTTATTACTTATAAAAAAAAATTTAAATTTAAATAGTTAATCAAAATGGCTTTGTTGTATGCATGTTGTCGTGTTGCTGTAACAAATACTGATGTGCCTATAATATGTATTAGTTGTAGTGGCTACTACCATCTGCAATGTGTGTCTGCATCATCCAAAAAAGACCCAACACTTCGCAATGGGTCAGACTGGACCTGCCCAGTGTGTTTGTCAAAGCAACCTAAAACGTTTAAAAAGGATAGTACACCTGTCCGCATTCCAGCGCATAAGCAATGCGACACCGACAGTCATAATGTTACATTGCGAAATAAACATTCAAAGAATAAGTCCCCCACTACTTCGCCAGTGTCAGTGATAGAAAAATCTGCAGACTCTTCTTGCGACCTACGGGGCTTAATAAGACAAGAGATTTCAGGGCTAAAAAGAGATCTTGAATTTAGTTTTAAGAACTTTATAAACTCCGAGCTTAAAAGCATTAAGGACGAGGTACAGGAAATAAAAATGTCCTTAACTTTCATTAATAATAAGTATGATGAGATGAAAGAAAAATTTGAAATATATGATAAAAGCCTAACGTCGGTAAATAGCTTGAGTAATGACATAGGTATACTAAAATCTTCACTGCCAAAGTTGGAGCATGAAAATAATGTTAGAGACCAGTGGGCACGGCGTTCCAATATTGCAATTTGTGGCATTCCTGAGAAGAAGAACGAAAATCTTTTCGAAATTATTGAGAATATATCGAAGCACGTTAATTTTTCTTTTACCAAATCGGATATTCATTTTACAACCCGCGTTGCACCATCTACCAAGGACTGCAAAAAACCTAAAGCAATTATAGTGCGATTTATATCGAGGTATAATAAAGATGACTTTTTGTGTAAGGCAAAGAAACTTAAAAGCTTAAAAGCATGTGATCTTGGTTTTCCTGGTACTCAATGTTCGATATTTTTCAACGACCACTTGACCAGTTTAAATAAATCTTTATTGCGCCAGGTGAAAATTAAGGCTAAGGATAGTAACTATAGATTTGTATGGGTTAAAAACTGTAGTATTATGGTTAGAAAATCTGAATCTAGTCCTATTTTACACATAAATAATATGACAGATTTATTCAAAATAAAATAGGAATTATTATATTAATTACTGTAATTAATTGTTATTTTAACTACATTATAGCTTATGATATGTTATTTGCATTATTGTTGGTAGTTGTCCAATTTGTTTTAAATGTTATATAATATGACAAACTTATTTTTATTTTTATGGTTGTTCTCTTTTTCGTTTTAAACGTAATGTAAGCCTATCATGGCTTATTTTCATTGTGCACGAGACCTTGACACATTCGGTGATAGTTTTAATTTTATATTATTTAATTTATACAGTTACTACAACGTTTAAATACATTTTGTTATACACTTCTTTCTAAAGTATGTACGACATATATATATATATATATATATATATATATATATATATATATATATATATATATATATATATATATATCTGTATAAAAATCGGTTCTAATTCAAAAATTTTCTATCAAAACGTAAGGGGTCTATGTACTAAGACTGACTTGCTTTTCAGAAAGGTCTTATGTCATGAGTACGATACAATCTGTTTTACTGAAACTTGGTTACATTCAGGTATATTCGACTTAGAACTCTTTGACGCACGGTATTACGTATATAGAAGCGATCGTAACTACAAAGTCAGAGGTGATACAATGGGTGGAGGAGTTCTGATTGCAATGAGACGTAAGCTAAAGGTCACTAACGTTGAATGCATCCCGTCAACAGATTCAGCTGCTGACGTGATTCGTGTTTCTAATTCATTTGAACGACATACACGGTGAAACATATACTGTTGTTATTTTCCACAATGTCGAATTCATAAAGATGTGTTGTCAAACTTTTATGAACATATCTCTGATGAAGTTCTCTCTTACCCTGATGACTACTTCATTATATTAGGAGATTTTAACATACCTAACGCTTTCTGGTCGAATAATAGTAATGCTGATGTGACCTTACATGGAGATTTTTCATTGGATACAGTTAATGAACTAGCAAATTTTCTTTCT